AAAAAATAGTTGCAGGGTTTATCAATCTGACTCCGCCCACATTACTAGCGCAGAGCGTGTCTTCAAATGCAGTTTTTTTAAAATTACTCACTTGCAGGCTTAGAATGAGCATCGAGAACTTCGCAAAGAACAAGCTTGTGAGGACCTCCACAAAACGGATCGGGATAAACGGCAGCCGGCTAATAAAGTTGCATCTTCTCTATCAGCCACAGGGAAGCTTTTCAAGCACTTACCTTCAAAATCATGTCCGAGTCCTCTCCTTTTTCTGCTTGCAACGTCGACGATCCGTCAAAGCTCCAAGTCGGATAGTCTGCAAGAAATGCCCAAAGTCAGTGTGAAGGTCTCATTAGTGTGTCATCTTTTCTGGCGCTCACTTGCTGCTTTTCCAGGATCCTTGTCTAGTGTACGTTGTTTGTCTCTCAAATGCTCTCCCGTACCATCAATCCATATATACGTAGCCTGAAAAGCCCGTAAAATAGACATTTACTCCTCACTGTCTTCACAGGGACCCAAGGAGGTCTCAAATCACGGGGTTTTATTCAAATGGCTGTATTGCATGTTGAGAGGTAGGTAGGTGGACTAGAGAATTAGGAACATTTTTCGTGCGCACTTTTGGGAGTGTTAAAAAGTGGGTACATTGAGTCAACGAGTCTCCATGGAGTCGCTGAACTTTTCTTGCGCATTCTCAGTTTTTCCTAGGGGGAGGCAGCAAAAATGGTCTAGACCCATTCCTATTGCCTGAGGATGCTGGGGCGTGTCAGCGGGCTGGATTGGCGTGGCGCCACTTTCTTCTTCACCAACTGGTGAAGCGGGCAAGCAATAGCAATTGGTGGAAAACGACTGGCACCGCGCTTTTCGGCTCCTGACACGCCCAAGCCTTTGTAGCGAACAAGGCTGTACACTTTTATGGTCATCACATGTAGCCCTATAGCTTGCAACACACACTTTTCGAAAAATCGCTTCATTACCCGAAAGATCCCCTTGTCGATACGTTTTCGCGCCTTCGCTCTTTGTGACTCTCAGAAGGCTTCACTGCGCGACACAGAAAGAAAGCCCTTCCACCTTCTCTTCTAGGCCCTCGCAGCGAGTTATGTTGACTGTTTAATTGTCGTTTGAGCTATTGTTCAAGTTCTGTTAATTAGAAAAAGTTCTTGCTCCAACTGGAATCGCCCAAATTTAATTCAAATACTCTACAATAAGCTAACGCGCACAGTCAGCTGACAGCGGAATCCCATCTTCGGAAAATGTCAATTTTATTGGTGATATTGATTAGTTCAAAACACAAGTATCAAACAAGGCAATCGTAGCTTGTCGCGTCGCCGCGCGCGGCGCATCCTGCAGCTGCGCGACGAGAGTCCAACAGCCATCGATTTGTCGACTGCAGCAGTGAAACCGTATGAAAATCAAGCAAGGACAAGATGACCATGACCCATGACGGACCTTATCAAACTTTCCCATCCCTTTGACACTCAATGCTATGGCCATGCAAGACAACTCGCTTGTCGGCCGCGGCGTCGCTCGTCACGCCCGCCAGCGCGGCGAAACATGATTGTTCTGTCGCATACCCCCCATATGCAACTGTGATCGGGCTTGTCATGATAATTCTCATGAATTTGAAAAGTGACGATACAAAGAATTTGGTCTGGGATGCAGAGGTACTCTTTTTCAAGTTACCACGGAACTAAGGTACAATGTATTGTTTTAAAGCGCTTTGAGCATAAACTCTTACCAGAATTTTGTCCTTCGGATAAGGAATCTCCAACGATGTATCGACAACTGGTGTTCCAAGAGGTATTTTGGCATGGAAATCACCAAAATTTCGAGTAACAAGTCGAACAAGCGGATTTCGAATAATAGAGGCCTAAAGTAAAAATGACAGTGTGCTCATGCCCCTATAAGGGCACCTTCCAAACTTGCTCACCTGTGTCGAACAGGCCGAAGATTTGAGCAGAGTGAGTTTGAGCATCAGGGGACAAAGAGGTGTTCAGGGTGAAGACAGATTTACGAATAGGATGCTAATGCTACATCTCAATCGATATTAACCCGTTCGTTAACTTGTCAATACCGGATAGATCCATAAACGTGTTGGGACCAGAAAGCAGTAGACAGTGTTCCGGTCCTTTAATTAGCACTGATAATTCGATTATTTGGGGCTGAGGTTCGTAACAATGATAAGTGTAAATAATCGTTGACCAAATACCAATGACTAAAAACAAAATGAACAATCAAAGGTTTATTCGCAAGTCCACTGCTCCTTGTCCTTTCAAATATTTTTTATCAATAAACATCGTTGTAATCAGATGATATTTCAACAACAGATAACCTTTAGCTTTTTTCCAAAGAAACCATCATTAGAAGTGTCACCGCAATTTGGCTTGGTGGGGGCTTTTGGTGGCTCTCTTAGGCCAATGGCGATGCCTTCTGCGGAGACCTGTGTCCTGCAAAGCTGTCCATTAACAGGAGCTTCGTTTACACTTGAGGGGGTCTACAGGTTTCACTAACAGTACCTAAAACGGCACGTTGTGCATTGGAGATCTCCAGCGAGCGGGGGTCAGGGCAAGCCATCGTTGTGATGATCACAACGGGGGGGTCGTATTTGACCGCGAGGGAGGGGGGTCGTATTTGGTCAGAGAAAAATTTTTTGATAGTTGATTTCTCTTGTTTCACGGACGCTATAAAGGGGAGGGGGTCGTATTTGGTCGTTT